ATGTGTGTGTGTGTGTGTGTGTGTGTGTGTGTGTGTAATCAATTTTATTTAAAGGGAAGAACTTCTACAAATAACATAGAAGGAATTAGGTATCACATTATCAAATTAGCTGAAATGACTCTACGATTATGTTTCAGTAGAGATGTTTCAAATACGTGTTTTTAAACACAGAGGCAAAAACATGAGCCTCAGAGATTAAATAAGATGCTCAATCACAGGCAAGATGTCCTTAGGGAAGGAATGTTTCCAGGGAAGGTGAAAGAGATGTTGGAGGAAGACTACCAGTGTTGTTGTAGCTGTTTAAGTTGATCACACTGGATAACTGAGTCCCCACTCAGGGCTTTAGGTGAGATTGGTCTAGAACATCAGTCTTCAATATGTTTTGCTTGTACATCACAAAATAATATTAAAAATTGATGTCCCATTTTTAAAACACATTTTTGAGTTGTCCGGTCACAATTATTACTGTTAGTTGATGTAGTTTCATATTGTTAAATACTTTTTTTTTTTTTTGAGACAGAGCATTGCCCTGTTGCCCAGGCTGAAGTGCAATAGCACAATCTCAGCTCACTGCAACCTCCACCTCCTGGGTTCAAGGAATTCTCCTGCCTCAGCCTTCCGAGTATCTGGAATTACAAGTGCCCGATGCCACACCCAGCTAATTTTTGTATTTTTAGTAGAAACTGCGTTTCACCATGTTGGCCAGGCTGATCTCAAACTCCTGACCGCGTGATCCACCCTCGGCCTCCCAAAGTACTTGGGATTACAGGCATGAATCATCACGCCTGACCAATGCTGACATTTTGTAAATGAAATAACTGCAGACTCTGCAGTAAAGCTATTTAGGTCCACGTCTCTTTACATACTAGCAGTGTGACCTTAGCAAGTTATTTAATTGCTCCCTTCCTCAGTCTACCCTCATTTATGAAGTGGAAATTGTATTTACACATATATGTGTTATGTTATTGCAATGTTTGATTAATTTTCCATATGACAAGGCCTGGAAAGTACCTGGAACATATATACAATATATGAATGTTTGCTTTTATTATCATTATCCATTGGTATCAATTTGATACATGTTTTTATCTATTATACACATATTCTTTCGATAAAATGTAGAAACATATCTATTTATATCCACTTATATTTCACACAAAATTTTATTTTAAAGAAATACATTACTATGCTTGAAAGTTTAGCTAAGTCACCCCAACACAATTATTTTCAACAAAAATATCTATACAAATTGATTTTTTTATTTTCTCTGCCAATAGAGCTCTAATAGTTAAAATATTCTTGAATGAGTTATCATTCCAACAAGTAAATTAATGTGTTTTAAGTTTTAATAATTGTTAAATATAAAAACACATCTTTTGATGGAATGTTAATGGGGTTTTCCCTCATTATTTTATGCCTATGAAGGAATACTACTTATTCTTTCACAGACATAAATATTTATTGCTTAAATAAGACAGGGTTTACTATTTTAATTTCTGTTTTTCTTATTTTTTCCATAACATAACAATTAATTTATCTTATAAATACGTAGATGGGAATGGAAGTTTTAAGACAAGTCAGATCATTATTTTAAATTCTTCAGTTCTTCAGAATTCTATGAGAAAAATCTCATTAAAATATGTCATCAAAAAACTTAGTAATATGTTGATCAAGTTATCCTTTTGGTTTTAATGAGACAAAGCATTGGAAGCAAAATGAGTTATAAAAGGGTCTTTTGCATGAGGTTGAAGATGTTCAATTGTATCAGCATCATTTAGTGAAAAGACTATTCTTTCCTCAATTATATGGTTTTGGTGCTCATTGAAAATCAGTTGACCATAGATGTGTGGCTTTTTCCTTAAACTTCCAGTTCTATTAAATTGATGTCTCTGTTTAGCCTATGGCATTACTAAACTTTTTTTTCTCATTCAACATGATGTTAGCTGGGGATTTGTCATACAAGGTCATTATTGCATTGAAAAACATACCTTCTATGCCTAAATGTTGAGTTTTTTTTTAAATATACTTTAAGTTCTGGGGTACATGTGCAGATCATACAGGTTTGTTACATAGGTATACATATGCCATGGTGGTTTGCTGCATCCATCACCCCAACATCTACGTTAGGTATTACTCCTAATGTTAGCCCTCACCAATCCCCCTATTCCCTGTTATCCCTCCCCTAGTCCCGCACTCCCCAACAGGCCCCAGTGTGTGATATTCTCCCCCTTGTGTCCATTGGCTGAACTACATAGAGAAGACAATGTGGCAGAAGTAGAGGCCTCATTCTCCTCTTTATAGAGCTATCCTGGGCTTCTGTGCTACACAGGGATTTTGTCACTTTCCTGGTGCTCTGAAGTGCAATTCCTCCATCACTCCAATAGAAATATAATTGCTTATTTAATGTTTTGGTCTTTTTATTGGGAGAAACTCAAGTTGGCCATCTTGCTGTTGACAATCCGAACTATCTTTCTTTACAATATTATGAATTTTCTTTGTTTTTCTTGTTAATTTCCCTAGCCAGAACTTCCAGCCCATTGCTGAATACAAGTGCAGAGAGTAGACATTTTTACCTTTTTTTTTTTTTTTTTTTTTTTTGAGACGGAGTTTTGATCTTGTTACCCAGGCTGGAGTGCAATGGCGCGATCTCGGCTCACCACAACCTCCGCCTCCTGGGTTCAGGCAATTCTCCTGCCTCAGCCTCCTGAGTAGCTGGAATTACAGGCACATGCCACCATGCCCAGCTCATTTTTTGTATTTTTACTAGAGACGGGGTTTCACCATGTTGACCAGATGGTCTCGATCTCTTGACCTTGTGATCCACCCGCCTTGGCCTCCCACAGTGCTGGGATTACAGTCGTGAGCCACCGTGCCCGGCGACATTTTTATCTTGTTTATGCCCTTAGGAAAGAGCTTTCAGTCTTTGAGCATTAAGAATGATATTAGCTCTAAGTTTTTCATTGGTGCCCTTTATTAGATTGAGGAAGTGACCTTGTATCCTTAATTTGTTGAGTGTTTTATCATTAAAAGTATTGGATTTTGTCATTGCTCTTTTGCATCTATTGAGACAATCATGTAATTTTACTTTTTATTCTGTTAATTATATATTGTTCATTTTTCATATGTTGAACAAGGCTTACATTCTTAGGAGAAAACCCACCTGATCAGCCAGGGGTGATGGCTCATATTTGTAATCCCAGTACTTCTGGAGGCCAAGGTGGGTGGATTCCTTGAAGCCAGGGGTTCAAGACCGGCCCTGGCAACATATCATGACCTCGTCTCTATAAAAATATTAATAATTAGCTAGGCTTGGTGGGCATGCCTGTAGTCCCAGCAACTTGGGAGGCTGAGTTGGGAGGATCACTGAAGCCCAGGAATTAGAGGTTACAGTGAGCTATGATTATGCCACTGCACTACAGATTAAGTGATAGACCAAGACCCTATTTCAAAAGACAAAGAAAAAAAAACCCACACTATCATCGTGTATAATACATTTCACAGATTATGGTTTTTTTTTTTGTTAGTATTGTGTTGAGGGTTTCTGCATCTATATTTGTAACAAACATTGGTCTCTATTTTCTTTTACTGTGATGACTTTGTCTGGTTTTGTATCAGAATGCTGATGTTATAAGTAAATTAGAAAGTTTTTCCTTCTCTTATATTTTTTGCAAGAATCTGAAGAAATTTGTGTTTTTTTAAACAGAATTTAATAGTGAAGCCATATAGTCCTGTACTTTTATTATGAAGAGTCATTTAATTAATAACTCATTCTCTTTACTTATTACAGATTTAGTCAAATGTTCTATTCTTGAGTTAGTTTCATTAGTTTTTATGTCTTTCCAGAAATTTTTCCATTTCATATAATTTAATTAGTTGGCATAAAATTGTTCATAACATTTCCTTATTGTCTCTTTTTCCCTCTGAGGTCTGCAGTAATTATCTCTCTTTTTTCTCTTTCAGTAATTTTAATCGTCTCTCTTTAGTCTTAGTTAATAGGTATAGCTAAAAGTGTTTAATTTTGTTGATCTTTTAAAAAAAACAATGTTTGGTCTTGTTGATTCTTTATTGTTTTTCTCTATTTTATTTATTTATGCTCTAATAGTAAATATTTCCTTTCTTTTGCTGCCTTAGGGTTTAGTGCGCCTCTTTTTCTGGATGTTTTAGGTAGAAGGTCAAGTTATTAGAAATTTGCTTTTCTTTCATAGACATTTACTACTACAAATTTCCTTTTAAGTCTAGTTCTTCCCCAAACTTATTGTAACAGTGCATTTTTATTTTTATTCATATTTTATCTTTATTAATAATTTCCCTATTATTTCTTATTGGACCCATTGGTTATTTAGGAATCTGTTGTTAATATCCAAATATTTATTAATTTATTAAATCTCTTTCTGTTAATAATTTCTAATTTCTTTTTATTATGGTGAGAAAACATGCTTTCTAGAATTTCTCAGCTCTTTCCTAAACATGGGCACAGTCCTAGCCATGTGTAATGGCTTCTGGGTGTCCAGAAGTATGTTGGAGGTTTAAAAGTCTTATAGACATCTCATTTTCTTTTAAGGTTTCTGGTTAGTCTATTGTTTGCCCCAAATGTTACTTATTGCCTCAGGCAGTGGTACATTAAAATACTGGTCAGTCAATGTTTTCTGAATCCTTTAGCACTGAGCATGTTCTATCAAGTTAAATAAAGACATGCATTTTGAGTAGAATTTCCTGTGAAAGCACGAGACAAGTCAAATAATGCAATCTTTGTGGAAATGAAGCTTAGAAAGAGCTTTAACTCAATTATGTCACCTCTGGTACCGGGAACTCAGGAATTTTTTTTTCTTAAGGCTCTCCCTGAGCTGTGAAACGGGGTGGAAACTAGAGTGAGTTAAAATAGCACAAAACTTGTTTTACTGTGATTCAGTAATTTTTATTGAATACACACCCTCACACTGCTACAAGCCTTTGATTTATTTACAGAGTTTGGAACAATATATATTTATATTTATTGCCAGCTTTTCATTGCTTTTGTGGAGGTTGTGAAGGGGTGAATTTTCTGAGATCCTTGTGCTGTCAGTTCTGCTAACGCCAATCACTTCTGTTAAGGTTTGGATAAACCTTGAATCACTAGTGCATTGCAGTCTGGATAGGCATCATAATCCTCCAGGAAATTCTGCATGGCCTTGAGGCAGGTGTGAATCATTTGATGAAAGTCACCTTTCACCCCTACGAAAGACTACATTGCCTGAGAGTTCAGGCTTGAGGGACTCTCAAGCCTGTGAGGTGAGATAGATGCTAAAATCTCCTCCCTAAAAGAGGCCTCCGAACTCTTTTATTATCATTATTTGCTCTATACTTTTCATTTCACCTGGCGCTGTGCCCTCCTGGAGCACCTCAACAGTTACATAAGCCAAGACCACTTGATCTCTGCTGTACTTGTCATTACTTTCAAATCTTAAATGTAAATGGGGTTTCTAGTATTATATGTAGAACATAAATAATAAATATTTCTGTGGCTTCTGAGGAAGCTAAAAATCATGATACAGTATTTGAATATGATTTGTCTTTATATTCATCCCAAGGGTTGAATTTCTTTTATTATTATCAGTATTTACATCTTAAGCTGGCTTCTTTCTCAGCAATGCTTACATCTATTTTCCCTTATGCTGTCACTTCCCAAGTAGAAGCCTCAGTAAAGGAGATATCATCAAATAAGGAGATATCTGAGAGAGAGAGAGAGAGAGAAACAGTAGTAAATGTCTCCAAACAGGAAGTCACATATCTAAACTGTTTGAACAAATAACTCTCAAATAACAGGGATATATTTTTTTGTAGCTCACCACTGTCTGCTACTTAAAATTTAGAGGGAACAAAGTCTCTGAACTTAGATTGAGGCTCCCCAAACCACAGAACCAAACTTCAACTTCAGAAACTGGCAAACTATTATTAACTAGTACCTGATAAAATGAAACTACCGTACTTGTTAATTCTTTGCGTGCAGAGCTGTTCATAGTAAATAATGTCACTTTTGTTTTTACTCATGCTTTGTTTCTACTTATATATTTCTGAACAAATGATAGCAAAGAAAAAAACCTTTATACAGTTCATCCTAATCTCAATAACCAAAACATTATAGGCAAATAGACACTTAGACCACCGTTTCACTTGAAAAACCTAACCACAGTTAACACATTAATATGAATGCTACTCTGACACGGTTGCAAAACACCTTTCTGCATTTCTGCTCCTACTGCCCGGGTCTGGCTGTCGTTGTTTCTTACTTAGTCAACTGAAGTAGCCTCTAAATTGGTATCACTGAATTCTCTCCCACCATTCTCTACTTCATTATGCAGCAAGAGGAGTCCTTTGAAACTACACATCTGATCATGTCACCCCTCTGCTTGAAACCCTTCAGAAGATCCTCATCTTTCTTGGACTAAAGATCTAATGAGGACAGAAATAATCCACCCCAGTTTACCTCACCAGCTTGATTTTATCCCACTTTCCTTGTATTTTCTAACAGCCAAACTTATATTCCTATTTCAGTCTCATATGTCCTATTCTCATAACACAGGCTTATATTTCCCACCACAGAGCATTCAATTATGTCCTTTCCTCTGCTAAGAGCATGTTCCTTCTATGAATAATTAATTCTAACTAAACCTCCAGAGTCCATTTGAAGTACCATTTCCTCATGGCAGTCTTCACTGCCTGCATAATCTAGATCAGAATTTTGTCCATTTTAGCAATAACACAATTGTAAATAATTGATTATGTGAGTTAATATTAGTATCTGTTTCTCCAGACTATAAGTTACACAAAGAGTGTAAGTTTCACAAATTCTGGGACTTCATCTTGGTCATTACTGTATTCCTAATTCCCAGCACAGAGGAGTACTCATTCAGTCTCAGTATCTATATGGATGGTATTTACAAATAAAATTTATACTGAGTAGAATTTATAAATAAAATAAAAGCTGGAGTACATAAAATGTTTTCGCATAGATTATCTTATTTAATTCTAACAAAAAACTATATAGCAAATTACAATATTACCATCTTACAGAGAAGAAAATGAGAAAACTGACTCCTCTACTGTATTATGAGAGTAAGCATATGTCTGTTTTTCTTGGTGAGAACAATGGTTCACTCTGCACAGTTTCTCTACTAGTATCAAGAATTGTTTTATTAGTAAATATGATTGCCGGCCACAAAGGTAAGTAATACACTTGGATAAACTTACTTCTCTTAATTATGTTATCTAGATTTGTCATAATTTTATTGATGCAGATCCATTTTTAAACAAATCAGATACTTATTTAATCTGATATAATCTCTTGGGCCTTAGGTCTAGTCCTATTGACTTAAAAGAGAGCTTCCTTTTAGTTATCTTAAAACATCATATTATTTCAAAACTGAAACAAATGTTAATTGAAAGTCATTTAATTTTCATTATTTTTATGTTCTAGAATCCCTCTGTTAATTTAATAGCATAAAATTGTTCATATATAAGAGAAATTATTTATGCATTTAACATGAGTATATAGGCCAAACTACTTCAGGTGAGAAATCAGGGTAGATTCGTTACATGTTATAGGGCTATGTGTTTGATTGTGTGAGTGGGGGGGGGGGGGGGCGGTGTACAATTTTTTCTTTTAAATCTAAATGTCATCATTAAGCATTCATTCTATTTCCTTTACTTCCCTAGAGGGATTCAGACAATTTCTCCTTTGGTACCTCTATCAACATGCCTTGAGCAACACCTTCAGCATGTGAAGTCATGGAATTCTTTCAGTTTGCTCTAAAATCTGTAAAAGAGGCAGGTCTGAAGTTTCAAATGCTTAAACCCTCAGTATAAGATTTGACATTTAGAAAGTAGGTCAACTGCCCTAGTGCTGTTTTAGCATACATCAATCTGTTATTTAGAAATAATTTTAGCCACTAGGCATCACAAATGAGCCTTAAGTCTATTTCTAATACTCCCTGTATGTTTTTCTATTTAAGGAGCTAGGGCTTTAAATAATATTGAGTATGAAATGAATTTTAAAAGCTTAGGCCTTAGCCTCTTTTCAAGACTTTTAACCAATTCTTTTGTAAGTTCCGTTGGTGTTGCAGAGAGAGGGAAATAGAGACCAGAATTAAAGTCCTATTTGTACATAATTGTGTTGACTTTTGACATGTTAGTAATCTTCTTTGTGAGTTAATTTCTACATCAAAAAGAAGATAATTACCCAAGGATTTGAAAGGGAAATAGTGCCTCCATGGTCACTCAAATTACAATGATCATCACAGTACGTAAGCCATTTCAAAGATTCAAAACCTAGTTCTGAATTCATTGAACTATCAAAGTGGGATAGATAGTCCTAGGTAACTTATACAAGATCAGAGAAGATTGCATATCCTCCCTCTTGTAACTTATATACAGCCACTTCCCTACCACTACTTCTGGCCCATCCTCTCCAAAATGCAGTTTTCTTGTTTTTTTTTTTCTTACTCTATATTTTCTCAGTCAGTCAGTCTTATTCTTTGGGGTAATTACTTTAATTTATATCTGTAATACTACTACTTTTTTATAGACACCAGTCAATTATGTTTTCCTGAGATCCCTTTCTAAGATTGTTTTTCATTTTGTGCTAGAATCCCTGAATCACAGGATTATTTTCATGTTGGCTTTACCTTTTTAAAGAGATTGTTCATTTTATGTAATAATTAATGCCTTTATGCAATTGTATCTAAAACATATAAAATAAGAAATGCATGGCTCTTTTAAAATTTGAGATCAAGTATATATGAAGATTGAAAAAAAATGGAAGGAAAATCTCTTCTCAGAAAAGATGTAGCAAAAATTAAATCAACATAATCAGGTTATTCAAACCAATGACAGATTCATGTCCTCTTTAAATTTTTTTTTCTTTTTTTTGTTTTTTATATCTTTCTTGCATTATTGCACTAGATAGTACCTAAAGAAAAATATTGAAAAGAAGTGTTTGTAGTGAATATCTTTGCCTTATTCCAGCATGATTTGTGCTTAAGAAATTCAAAGGAATCTTAAATCTATTCGAATAACAAAGAATTTAGCAAATTTGCAATTAACAAAGTCAAAATACAAAAAGCAATTGCATTTGTGTTCCCAAGCAATGTAAACTTTAAAAAAAGGATATTAAAAATGTCATTTTCGGAAATATCAGTAAGCATCATTGGCCAGGCAAGGTGGCTCACACCTGTAATTCCACCACTTCGGGAAGCCAAGTCAGAAGGATTTCTTCAGTGCAGGAGTTTGAGACCAGCCTGGAAAACATAGCAAGACCCTATCTGTATAAAACATTTAAAAATTAGCCAGGCATGGTGTTGTACACCTGTCAGCTACTTAGCAGACTGAAGTAGGAGGATCCCTAGAGCTTGAGAGGTTGAGGCTGCAGTCAGTCATGATTGCACCACTGCACTCCAGCCTAGGCAACACAGAGAGACTCTGTTTCAAAATCTATAAAATAAAAATATACTTGTACACCAGTGTACATCCTTATGCATAATTTATACACATTCATTCAATGAAATGATAATCAGTAATAAAATGAACAATTATTTATTAATACACCAACATGAATGAATGTAAGAAACATTAGATAATGCAAAAGCAATCACGTACTGAATGAAACTATATATCCTAATGCTCTTAAATCCAAATATAGACAACCTAGTCTATTATGATAGTGTTTGAGTGAAGCAGGAGGCATAAAGAGTTGAGAAAAGTTATAGAATGAAATATTCTGAGGGGATAAAAATTGTCTTTGAATCACTTTGTGCAAGTGTTGCATATTACAAAGTTTCATACAATTGCCAAAACTCATCAAAGTGAACACTTAATGTCTGTGCATTTCTCTAAGTAATAGTTTTTATTTCAGTAAAACAAGATTAAATAATAAATCCTATAAAGTATGCAGTACAGGTTCTGGAACAGAGAACTTCAAAAACAGCTTTATCTTTTTTCTGAAGACTCTAAAATTGAGCTAGGCACGTTGGTTCACACCTGTAATCCCAGCACTCTGGGAGGCCAAGGCAGGCAGACTGCTTGAGTTGGCAAGATCAAGATCAGCCTGGGCAACACAGTAAAACACCATCTCTACAAAAAAATGCAAAAATTAGGCATGGTAATGCATGTCTACAGTCCCAACCACTTGAGAGGTTGAGATGGGAGGATCCCTTGAACTCAGGAGGTGGAAAAAAACTGTAAAAGCCATATGATAATTTAAATCTGTACTTTATCATATACAGATAGTTTTAGAGAATGCAGCACTTGGTCAAACAAAATCCATGAGCTGAATTTTACAAAAATTCTATTGCTTTACATCATAACCCAGGGAAGTGTTCAAACCTGGTGGCACCACTGTATTTTTTAAAGAGAATGATAACACTGAAAACTATTACTTTTCATTTCATTAAGAATATTCAAGGAATATTCTCAAATAACTCCAATTTTATATTTAAAGTCCAATTTTATATTTAATGAGTAATTTCTATTTGTTAAGCACACATGCCTTGAAAAAACAATTTCGGTTCTTAAGGGCATTTGAACTACACTTGCCTTAAGAGGATGGCTATGAGACATTGTGGCTTCTAGTAGTCATTGTCAGAATACGCCTTTTTAAGCTCCCATACAAATAATAAGCTTCATTATAACATATTTTTAGAGTGCTTTATGCATATAACCAGCAAGTTAACCTCATGAACCAAGGGTTAGTCATAATAAGTGTGCCTGCAATGAATTTGCAAAGTGCTTTCTAGATATAAACTGATTGCTATTCCAAGCCTATGAGAAGACAAATATGAAAAGTAGAAGATTCAAGTATTTATAGGGAAATCTCAGAGGAAAGTCCAACTGTGCCATTAGAAAATCTTTAGTGGATGATATTGGAGCTCCTACCAGATGCTCTCACAGCTCTCTCCCATTTTTGTGTAAACTCCCACCCCTTGGCCAGTCTCAACATATTTCTCTTTCACATCATAATTCCCAATAGTGATTTCACATCCTATGAAACATATCCTTGTTGATTAAAATATTTCCCCACAATTAAGCAGTCATGTCCCCTCTTCTCTTTATGGTTAATTATTTTTAAAATAAATATTTTCCTGGATATATGCATTTCCCCCATTATAAGTAATTGTTTTATATGCTGTGTGAGGGTGTGTGGATGTCTTTGGTGAGAACACTTAAGATCTACCCTTTTAGCCAACGCCTGGCATTTAGCTCAGTATCTGTCACTAGCAAGAAGCCAATAAATGCTTGCTGATCTGAGCTGTGCCCCAAGTAATTTACCTCATCTCTCTGTGTTTAAGCCTGGCAATGATAAGGACCCTGAAAAGTGATAGAAATAGGTCCTTGGGCCCTTCTGTTTGCCTTCCACTTTTTTCATGTGGGTTGTTTGTTTATAATAATTGCAAACTTTCCCCTTTTTTCATATACAGTATTTTTTAGTTCCCTCTGCATGAGGTTGTCAGATAATGTCAAAATTTGTCATTGAGAAATGCTTCATTTTTATATTCTTGCCTTGTTGTACCTTCATGTAACATTAGAAATGCCATAGAAAACTTCTGTTGGTACAGTATGCAAACTGTAAGTTAACTTGGATGGAATTACAAAACTTTGTGGAAACAGTTTAAAACAAAATACATGGGCCAATTATCTTTTATTCTCCATATATTTTTAACCTCAGGGACAAGAAGCTGAATTAAACATAATCCTGTCTTCATCATATGCCCTTGTCATTGATGTAATCAAGACTCAGTTATTACTTAGTTTCTACTCTATTCATAAGTTTCTCCTTCACTCTCCTGCATGGATAACCATTCTCGTGTATAAAATATGTATCCTTCAACATGTCTCAATTTTGCAGTTTCTTAATATGACTTACCAAGTTTGCTTATTGCCTAGTCCCCAAATATTATCTTTTAATGTTATGAGTGGTATTGCCTTATCAATTATAAAATGTAGATAGTTATTGCTGGAATGTAAGATCACTATTGTGTTTTAATTATTTTTTATTATCCAGCCTCTTTAGTAATTTTTTTTCATTATATCTAATAGTTTTCAGTTAACAACTCAGGATTTCTCAGGTATGTGATCATAGAATCTATGAAGAATTACATTTTTTATTTGGTAATATTGTTTTTATTCTTACCATTACATAAACAAAAATTTCTACAATCACAAAAACAATTATAACAATGTTATTATAAATTCCTATTCTGTTATTTAATTTGAAAGTAATATATTGAATACAGTGAAGTTTGATAACAAATAATGGTTTAGGATAAAATCCTCTAGCTTTGTCGATTTTAAAATATGTCATAAGATAGGATAATTCTGAATTTTATCCAAGATATTTACTCTTTCTTGTATAAATATCATTATTGTCATTCAAATTAATTATATATTGATTTTAAATCACACAATGCTTATTTTCCTTTCCAATTTTTCTGTTAGAATATCTTGGCTTATAATATAATGGCCACTTTAAACTAGCACATCTATAAATTCCCTTATATTTTCAGTTGAAACATGAAAACTAGAGAAAAGCAACATCCTCACTTCAATACTCAAAAATATTATCATCCATTGAAGTGAGAGCCAAACACAAAAAATGATTCCACAACAGTTTTGTGAAATCCACCCATACTTCAGATGTTGACCAGATTGTGTATGCAATTGTTTGGATGGTGTAACTTCAGCAAGGTTTCAAGCATCTTGATTAGCTATTGCCAGTTTTCCAGGAAGCAGATATTGCCACCCTGTGATATAATTGTGAATACATAAGGCTATTAGGAGCTGATGAAATCATCTTCTGCATTTGCAAATACAGGTTCAAGAACATGGAGTTATTATTAATTATAATAATTTATTAAATGTTCACTATAAATTCTGAAAAATGGTAAAGCTTGACTCTACATTCCATGAATTTTAACCTACAAGATGGCTTATCATACCTACAGAATGGGATCTCACCATTTAGACATTAGGATACCAGGAAAAAAACTGCTTTTAAATCTTGTGATGTTGCTTAACACTGGTCCTCACTATTAGTGGCAGTACTTAATATCTGTAGTGGGCCTTATAATAATCATCTTCATTTGAATTTGAATTTTTGTAATATGCTTCCCCCTCAAAATAGGATAGAATCATAATACAACTTGCTTAACTGTGTACTACTTATCTAAAATAAGTTTTTAAAAATGATTACTATTTTTCTTAGACAAATTTTTATCATAGGCTGAGAATAGTTTTCCTCCTATTTTAGTTACATAGTCAAACTACTGTATGAAGATTTTTCTCATGTATTTAATATCTACAGTTTAACAGAACTCATCTCTCCTTTAACAAAAATAGTCAAGTTTTACAGACTTGACTTGTTTTTTTTTTGTTTGTTTAATTTGTTTCATTAAATACGAAGTAGAATTTTTTTTAAATCTCTGATCAGATAATGTCGTCCTCCAAATGTTTTATTTCAGAATATGCAATTTTAAAAATAATATTAGAATTGTATGACTTCTATCACTAGCCATCTCTAGCAAGAGATATTCTATTTCAGAAAAGTTATTATTTTAATTTTTTTTCTGGAAACATCCGTAGCCAAGTTTCGCATGTCCTACACCAGTTAGAACTTTTAAATTGATTAACTGATATTAGTTGAAAAAAATTAACTTCTATCATATATGCTTAGTAAGAGCTCCTCTTATTCCAAATTATTCTCCTTTTTCATTATTACAATAGGCAAGAGAAACAGGAGGAGTGAAAGCTAAACATTAGAAATTGTTTCCTGCTTTTAATTATTGCTCTGTATTCTCTTGGGAAAAAAAAGTGATAGATTAGTAAACACTACACTTCACTGCCATGGACTTAGTGCTGAGAGAAATACAATATAAGAGGCAATCTGCTCATAGGACAAGACTGCAGCAGTTGCTATTTTGCTTATTTTCAAGGGGACCCTACTCAGCCAAACTCTGATCCAAAGAAAGTCACTGCAGTCATATCCACATCCAGCCACACTCCTGGTCTCTATGAATGTTGGCTTTTGAGACCTATTTTGAGGGGAAAGGATATGGGTATTGATTCCTTCTGGATCTACTAAAACCTCAGTAAAGCACTTGGAGGTGCCTTGTGCTGCTTTTACTGCTGAAATAATTAGGCTTTGTCTTAAGCCTGCTACCCATTCAGTCCAGAACTTAGCTGTGTTAATATGCCACAGGGAAGTCAAAGTGAATGCATCTTGGAACTGACTGAAAGTACATGACCACTGTGTAGCCCCTGTATTAATGCATAAGGCCCTCTAGACTAAAATATAGCATGTAAAAAGTGGCATACAGAAAGACATCTTGAATATTTCCTGTGAGTAGTCAAGACCCTATCAAGAGGTGATCACTATTATCTACACCCTAATTGAATCTTGTATTCATACCCTAACTGAAACCTGCATCCTTTTGACCAATGTTTCTCCTCTCTCTCTCTAGTTGGAACATATCCCTTAATACAGAGATTTAGGGTTTATCTTCAACAGTGTAATTAGCTGATTGTCTAATGGAATCAACCTCTTTATCTTTATATAAAATTATTTATTTATTTGGATTTCCTCATTATCAGAAACATACTGATCCATGAAATTATTTAAAGACTTGATTTTGTCTAAAATTAGGCTACTCACACTGATGATAAAATAGGATAATGAAATGTATATTCATATTTAATAATCAAATAGAGAACCCAAAGCCTATTTGTATCTATAATTTAAACACAGTAAGTTTAGTTTCCAAATGAGGCTCTAACAAATTTCTAAAAACTTAATGGCTTAAAACAACACAAATTTATTATGTTATAAATTAAATTCTAAAAGTCAGGAATTTAAAATGAGTTTTCAAGGCTGCGTAATTTCTGGAGGCTCTAAGGAATAACCTGTGTTCCTGCCTTTTCCAGCGTTTAGAGGCTACTCACATTACTTAGCTCATGGCTCTTTCCTCATACTACTCAGATCTCTGCTTCCATCATCACCTCTCTTTCTCAAACTGACCCTCCTTCCTCTATCTTACAAGAATCCTTGTGATTATGTTGGACTTACCTAAACTACACAGGATAATCTCCACATTTCAAAATATTTAACATTATCACACCTAAAAAGTCCCTTCTACTGAGGTTATATATTAACAGATTTCTGGGACTGGGATGTGAATGCCTTCAGAGCTACATTCTGCCTACTACAATAACCAATACCCAAGATAGTTTTTTTTTTTTTAATTCTGTGCCCAAGGAACTGTATTATCACATCTCATTTCATCTATACTTGGTCATTCTACATCTTTATCATCCAAGGTGCAGATGAAATAAGAGTGTTTTACTCTGTGTAATAACAGGAAGTACTTTGGCTTTAGAGTCATAAAGTCCTATTTTTATACTATGGATTTTCCATTCATCTAACTGTATGGCTGTGGACAAGCCATTTAACTTCTCTGATCCCTCTTTGAATGTAGCATGGTCCTCAATAAATGTCAGTTGCTTTAATAAAATAACAATTATTGTCAAATTTCAAACCCCAGGCTCCCAGCTTCATACCCATCATTTTCTTCAACAAGGGGGTCCATCTCTCATCATATTTCCAGAAATCCTGTCAATATTGCTATCATCCTTTTCCCAAATAAAGAATTTGAATTCAAACCACATTGTAAATATTGGAACACACACTCGGGCCATGCCTTTCATCCTTTCAGGAAGGCAGTGTGCATGCTGTCCTGCCAGACCAACTTGCTATCCAGCCCAGCTCCTAATTCACATGAACATTCCCATGCTCCCCAACTCTTAGATGTAGAAAGCATTTATCTTAAACTCATATGAATAATTCTGAAAAAATAATTGCATGTGAACAGTTATTCCAGTTAACAGTGTTTTAAAGTCTATATTCTAAGAAGAGGATTTACTAGATTATAAACTTAATATTGTTAAGAAATAGCACTTAATATACTTTAACATTAAATTTTCTACAAAATATTCCCTAAATTATTCTCCTCCTACAAAATTTAGTATTAATATATGTTAGACCACTTTATTATCATTAAAGTTTTATTAATGTTATTATTATTAACTCATTTTAAAAAATGTTTTCAATGTAGCATTGTACCCTGTGGCTAAATATATAGGCTATTTGTATTTTTTATCTGGCAATTATCTCTTTGTCTTTATTTTCTAGTAGAATGTTCATTGTTTTTATTACAGATTAATAGGAGCTATTTCTATACTTTATGCATTGACTGTATTGAAGGCCCAATTCTTTTCCCTCCCTGTTTCCAGGAAACTGTCCTTCTGCTGTAACTTTGCAGTACCCTCCTACTAAGGAAAAGATGTTATATTCACTCCTTAACATGGTGATCAATTATGTGACCTATTCTGACAAATGGCATGCCAGCAAATGTGATACAGGCAGATCCTTTAAAATGCTTCTGCATTTCTATTGGTTTTCATTGCTCTTCTATTGCCATGAGTACTTATCTTTGCTGGCCTGCTGAATGAAATACATGTAAATGAAATTGAATCATTCCCTATCATCCTGCCAAGTCTATCCTGTATTAAATGACAGCTATCTGGTTCTTAATCTTGGGAGCAAACCCTGACAAGAACAGTAGAGCTGCCTTACCACCCCTCAGTTGACCACAGGTACAAAAATGAGTCCAGAGGAGGTCAGCCAAATCCCATGGACCTATGAGCTAAATAAATCGTTTATTGTATTTGTGTGGGTGGTTGTTATGCAACATTATTGCAGCAAAAGTGACTGATGTATCTATATGGATAGTCAGCATATTCACACCCGACCCTTTCCCAGTTTGTCACTGGCCTCTTAAGTACATTTATGCATTTTTAAATATATAGGCTTATAAATTTTGATATCAACTTGTAGTGAAATAAGAAATATATTTGGTGTTTGTCCCCAGATCCTGGCACAGAGCTGTTAAACCATTGGAACTTCCTAAGGGATAAAATTGATAGGAATGTGTTTTGGTCTAGTAAAACTACTGTTGGCAGACCCCTAGATAGCTTCAGGATGAGGGCTGCTTGCCAGAAAGAGCAAGCCTTAATTAGAAGCTTGGAACTTTCAGTCCTACCCCCTTTCCCAGCACCAAACCCTCCGACCCAACTTTTGTGGAAGATAGAGAGCTGGAAATTTAATTATCAGTGGCCATAATCAAGCTTATATAACAAAATCTCAAATAAAAACCATTAAATGGTGGAGTTCTGAGAGCTTCCTAATTGGGATACATGTTCACATGCCAGGAGGGTAGTACACCTCAACCCCATGAGTAACAGAAGGTCCCACCATTATGACATTTCTGAACCTCACCCTGTCTACCTCTTCAACGTGCAGCTATTTTTATCTTTTATAATAAACAAGCAGACCTAAGTAAATGGCTTTCTGAGTTCAGTGAGCCATTCTAACAAATTACCAAACCTGAGGAGGAAGCCATGGGAATCCCCAATTTATACCCAGTTGATCAGAAGTAAAAATTTGCATCTGAAGTGAGATTGTGAGATTGGACTCTTAAACCTTTGGAGTCTGACGTTAACCCTGAGCAGTTAGTCATTTTAAATTAAATCATAGGATACCCAGTCAGTATCACAGAATTGCAGAAGAGGATATTGAAAAGAGAATTGGAAACAATATCACATATTTTGTGTTAGGAGGAAAAAACCCTCTCAGTCCATGTTCAGAAATCTCTAGCTATAGCTACATTATAGCAGCAACTAAAAGTGACACCAGCAAGCTTGATATATATGACAGCTCTCTGGATTCTCTCAACAAAGCAAATATTGGCACTGCAACTCCAGGCTGGATAGAAGTCACCATAGAGATAGATGGGCTTTAAGGAGACCCCAAAGAAGTCAGGCTCCTGCCAGTGACAGGCTAATATGTGTTCTAAACATGGAATTTCCATAGAGAGTCCTCTGTTCTCTGCTTAGTTTAGTCATTCAATGCATGACAATATTCGAAAATTTAAATGAATGAAGAAGAGACTCACATATTCTTACTTTTGTGAATACTTACAAGGTTTTTTCATTCTTTACATATTCATGTAATAAGAAAAAATAATTCAAGGATTATATTCTAGTTGGACAAAGAAACTTTATAGATACAAACAAATACAAACATTATACAGATGTATACAGATATGTCAATATAGAGATAGACACAAATGTATGTAGATATATAAAAATGGGTATATGAATGTATATAGATATGTATGTACATTCACAGGCATATAAAGGCAAAATATAGAGATATACAGATATGTAAACTAATATTTACTACCTAGAAGGTGACGGTGAAGTATGGGGTCAGGGCCAAGACAGTGGTCAGATGAGTTAGTAGCTGTTCAAGGAAAAAATTTAGTGATATATATTAAAAAGTGGGCAAATAAGTAAATGTATTATGGATTAAATATTTACTTTAAAATCCTTTTTTAATGAAGGCAAGACATTACCAATAAAGGCGATTTGTCATGTCAAGAGCTAAGCTGAGCTGGAGACAGCTGAGCTATGCAGTATTAGGGCAGTCAATTAAAACAACAAGCCAAAATGAAAGTACGAGTTGTCTACCAAAAGAAAGTTAGAACTGGCCAGGCACAGTAGCTCATGCCTATAATCCCAGCACTTTGAGAGGCAGAGGTGGGCATATAATGAGGTCAGGAGTTCAAGACCTGCCTGGCCAATATGGTGAAACACCATCTCTACTAAAAATACAAAAATTAGCTGGGTGTGCTGGAGCATGCCTATAGTCCTAGCTCCTTGGGAGGCTGAGGCAAAAAAAATCACTTGAACCAGGGAGGCAGAGGTTGCGGTGAGCCAAGATCATGCCACTGCACTCCAGCTTGATTCCAGAGTGAGAGTCTGTCTCAAAAAAAAAAAAAAAAAAAAAAAAAGTTAGAAATAAATGAATTCATCAAAGTTACAGGATACAAAATCAACATTAAAAAGATCAATTGTGTTTTCATACAATAACAACAAACTTTCTGAATAAGGGACCAAGAAACAATCTCATTTACAATAACAACAACAACAACAAACTTAGGAATAAATTTAACCAAGGAGTTAAAATACCTGTACATTGAAAACTAGAAAAACACGGACAAAAGAAATTAAAAGGACACAAATAACTGAAGAGATATTTTGTGTTAATGAAATGAAAGAATTAATAGTGTTAAGATACTTGTACTTCCAAAGCAATTGACAGACTAAAAAAAAAAAAATCTTATTGAAATTTGAAAATAATTTCTCACAGAAATAGGGAAAGCAATCCTAAGTTCATAAAAACCCAAGAAAGACCCAGAAGAGCCAAAGCTCTCTAGAAGAAAAAGAATAAAATTGTAGGCATCACGTTACCTAACTTCAAAATCTACTACAAATCTATTGCAATAGAAAAAGCATGGTACTAGCACAAAAATAGAGATATTGACTAATAGAACAAAATAGAGAGCTCAGAAATAAATCTACACATTTCCAGTCAATTGCCAAAAATATGCAATAAGAAAAGAACAGTCTTTTTAATAAATGGTATTGGGAAAAGTCGATATTCACATAAATGAGATTAGAGCCTTATCTCATACCATATAAACCAAGTCAAAATGAATTAAAGATTTAAATGTAAGACCTAAAACTATGCAAATACTAGAAGAAAATCTTGGGAAAACTCTCCTGAACATTGTTCTGAGAAATATTTTTTATATGACCCCCAAAACAAATGGATATAACAGGCAACAAAAGTAAAAATAAACAAATAGGATTTTATCAAGCTAAAAAGTTTCTGCACAGCAAAGAAAATGAGAGTGAAGAGAGAACCCACAGAATGAGAGAAAATACTTGCAAACCATACATCTGATAACAGATTAATATCCAAAATTTATAAGAAACTCAAATAACTCAGTAGCATAATCAAAAACCAGAAAAAAAAACCCTAAGAAATAGAAAAAGGACATAAATAGATATTTCTCAAAAGAAGACATAAAAATGGCAAACAGACATAAAAAAGTGTTCAACATCATTAATCATTGAAGAAATGCAAACTAAAACCACAGTGAGCTGTCAAGGCACTGTTGGAATAGCTGTTATCAAAAAGATGAAAGATAACAAGTGTTGGCAAGAATTTGGAGATAAAAGATTCTGGTACATTGCTAAAGTCCTAAAAAAATTCAAAAATAGAACTATCCAGCAATACTACTTCTTGGTATATATTCAAAAGAAATGAAACTAGTATCTCAGAGAGAGAACTGCACTTCTGTGTTCATTGTAACATTATTTATAATAGCCAAGATAAAGAATAAACCAAAGAGTCTTCAATGGAAATTTTTCAAATGAAAATGTTACACATACATACACACACACACACACACACACACACACACACACATATGTATTTGCACTCACACACACAGAAATATCACTCCACCTTTTAAAAAAAGGAAATCCTGGTATTTGCAAAAATGTGGATGAATCTGGAAGACATTATGCTAAGTCAAATAAGCCAA